TCACAAGAGCAAGGCATTAAGAGCACTGTGGTAGAGGCAGCATGCAAGTAGGTGATGTTTAAGCTGTCACATTTATCCCTGTGTGTCAAAGAATATTAGGATGCTATAATCACAAAATAAACAAGAGAGTTAGGCAAAGCAGACGAATATAACAAAAGAAAATAAATAGAAGGCTTACCCCTGTCTTGGGCTCACTCACAAAACACCAGCAGAAGCAATCTCCCAGAGAGATCCTTCCCCACTGGTAGTCAACTCTTTAATAGGTCCAGGAGGGGTGCAGCCAGGCTCCACCCCTTGCAGCACACAGGTCAATTGCCTTCACCTGTGCTCCTCTGGCTGACTCAGTGCTCGCCTCAGGTGGTCAATCAGAGGTTCAGGCCCTGACTCAGCAGCTCCCATACACCCTGCTAATGCATTTCACATAGTGCTCGACAGTATCTTACTAATATTCAAGCCATCGGCCTCTTCAGCACAAATGGCAAACCGCTCCAAGCAGTGTGGTGGTTCTGTCATACAAATCAATTTCCACGAAGGAACTTGTAACAGTGTCACTTCAGATTTGGCTTAAAATTCAACTCAAAATGCCTCTTCTTCCAAGTCTTCATTTTTCACTTAACCCAGTGCAGTTCTTCTTTAAAATGGTTACTTGCAGTACCAAGAAACACATACATCCAAAACTATAGTATCAGAGTTGCTGTTTATATTTAGAATATCCCATGGATTCCAGCAATTATACCTACCCAAAGGAGACTGCATCAACCTGCCAGTATCATCTGCAAAGTCTCATGAAATTCAATACAATTTAAAGCTTATTATCATCATGCTTCTAGATTCTATTTCCTCCTAAAGAAAAACTGGATTTGCAAGTAATGCTGCACAGACCAGACACACAAACTTGTCACAAGGCTTCTATCTCCTGCTTCCACAGCTTCTCCATGTCTGCATCAACAAGAGGCAGTTCGAATCACTGCACATCACACCAGAACATTGCATCAGTACATACCTTGAGACATCACTGCAAATGCATCAACAATTCCAATGTGTACGACAAGAAAATTTTCAACTCCACTCTAAAATCCACATATTGAGATATTAAGCTGTGTCAGTAACTGCATTAAATCAGATCAAATCAGATGCAGACGTGGAAACACTAGAATTGTTAAAAAAACAAGCAAATTAAACTAATAAATGCTACAGTGCTTGCCTACAAATAGTGTTCTATACAAAAAAAGCACAGAACGCTTGCTGCAAGACCTTTCTATTGTTCTAACAAGAATTAGTCAGATTATTCAGGTTGGATATATTTTGGGAAAATGTTTTTGCAGAAAGAGTGATCAAGTATAGGAACAGGCTGCCCACTGTGCCTGAAGGTGTTTGTGTGCGTCCATGTGGCCCTTTGGGATGTGGTTGGTGGGCATTGTGGTGATAGGTCGATAGTTCAACCAGATGACCTCAGAGGTCTTTTCTGACCTTGATAGTTCTTGAGTTCTATAAGACACAGTTGTACATATTTGCAGCACAGAATGAAAGACTGCTGCCTCCCAAATCAGTCACCAGGCATTCTCTCCTCTTAATATAAAAAGAGCTCATCTATTTTTTATCTTCTTCAGATCCACCATGCAGTAGTGTTACCTGACTTCTGCTATGCAGTATTTTTCAAGTGAACAAATCCTTCTCAGCATTACAACTTGACAGACTGAACTGGACAAACCTGCACGCTTATAGAAAAGCTAAGAATAGCACGCCTGTGCAACAGTCACACAATGGTGATATTTCAAGCAGCATCTGAGCCTCTAATTCCAGTTTTCCTGGACAACGGTTTAAAGAACAGGTGCAGCCCAAGCATTAAGACAAAAATCAAGAATCAGAAATTCCTAAAGACAGCAAAACTCCAGCCAGAGAAACAATCTTGCCCATGGCAGGATGGAGAGAAGATCTTTCTGATGTAGAAATAGATGTCACTGTACATTTTTCAGAAGATGACACTACTCACCGTTTTGTATGCTTGGCTTGACTGGATGTATTTATATTACACTTTATGATTGCTATTAACTTCTTGAATTTAGGTATATCAAAGTAAGAATAGCATCATCTCTATTAGAAATTTCTATTTACATGATTACTTATAGTAACTAATCACCATTAGCTAGGAAGGCTGGCCAAAATAATAAAATTTCTATTTCTTTCTACTAAGAGTCACAACTACAGAAAACCTGATACAGCGAAGATATAATTACCAAGAATATCAGACAGACATGCATAAAACACAAAAAGTGCAGTAGAACATCCAGCGTGTCAAGCACAGTAAATGTGATACCAGCTGCACAGCACTTAAGCATAATTAAACTGCTCTTCTCATATAAATGCAAGTTAAATGACAGACAGAAAGAAGGTTATTTTAAAGTCTTTTTTAGAAGAGCAGCATAAACAGCATATGAGCACTGCCAAAAAAATATTCTGGTTGTTTCTCATTGGGGAGCATTCCTTTTCACTTCATCATTATAACCTGCCTGCACAAGCTGAGCAGCATCCAATTATTTTCACTTCACAGTAAAGATCCAATTGCTTTAAAAGTAAGGCCGCGTCCTAACAATCCTCTGTTTGGGGCAGTAACACCCTGCTGAAGTTTAATTAATGCTCACAATTCACTTCTTAAACAAGTGTATTTCTGAACTGCAGAGTGATGAGCGATACCAGCGACTTTGAAATGTTTAACTCAAGTAGAAGTCAAATAGCCTTGACATTGTGAGAGTCTTTTTACTGTGGCTTTTTGACCAATTCCCGCAACATATTCAGCAGCCACATCCAAGGTTTATTCTGCCATAAATGGATCACTTGCATGAGCTGGCAGCAAATCTGTCTAGTCTGGAAGCAGAGACTAACATAGTACAGAAGACTCAAAAACCTTGGTTTCCCCTTCATCCCACCCCATATATTACTTGTGCTCACGTTTGGAGAGATTGCAGGGATACATATGTTGCAGTCATGAACTGTCACAGCAGCTTTTATGATCTACAGAAGCCATCTTCATTGTAGCCTCCAAAATCCCCACAGTAAAACCACAGCTCTTGGAACAGCTCACTGCCAAAGGGATGCATCTCACTACTTGGATCATGAAACGAGCATTGAGGTACGTAGTGCTGCAGCTACGCTGGTAATGCTATCAAGCTTCCTCACTTGAAGTTGACTTTTAGGAATCCAGATCTATCTCCCGACTCCAAAACATCACCTGAACTAACAGGAAAGTACGACGGCTTCAAACTATAGCAAAGAAAGTCACAGCATTACTTGCATCCTGGCTGATATTCCAAAAACTGAGTATGAAGTCTAAATATTGTCACACATGAAATATCAACCCGGATGGCCCACGGTCATTCACACGTTGTATGCAACATACCTCAAATTCCATCTTACATCTTGTTTTTTTCTTACCTACAGCCAGTTTTAAAATGGTAATATATTAAAACAAGGCTAAGTGCACATATAACAGGTGGCATTAACATTTCCTAATTTAAAAAGAAAAATATTAAGTCTCCATAGACTTATAAGCTACACTGATGCGATTGTCTTGGATATACTCTAATCCTGTACTTAATTACACGGAACAGTTATAAAAAGTTCTTCAATGTTTCCAAATCATATTCATTCTCTAGGCTAGATCTTTCATATGAATTTCTCCTGTAGAAGTACTATATCGATTTCAAGATCTAACTAGAAGAAAACTAGAGGAATAGGTCTACGAATCTAGTTCACTTTTCTCTCCTTACAAATAGGATATTTTTACCCATCGTGCTGTCTGTCACAACAGCTTATAAATTGCAAGGGATTATATCTGCAACACTGAAGAAAAAGCAGTTATGATTTTAAGCCCTGTAAGTCATAACAAAAAATTAAAACATACTAATTCTCAAGTGTGCACATTCCCTTTCCCAATTACTTTTTAAGAAACAAAAACAACTCTTACTATAAGCAGAAAGAAATCCATATTCTGTAGACAAAAATGCTTCACAAATTCCCATTAGAGAGCACAGTGGGGAGACAGAACCAATGTATTTACTAATGAAGATCTAAAAATCTAAGCAAACGCATCAACTTCTAACCTAACTCTACTCACGTAAGTAGTTCAAAGATATAAGTTACATGTTATGGCTTTAATTTCCTTCTTACGGATAATGAATGCACATACAATCATGACATTAGCTTCTATGGTCTTCAATCACATCGGGAGCCAATTACAGATACACAAAGAGCAATTTGGCTAATTGAAGACAGGTTTCAAGGTCTGTTTTCAATACCTAAGTGAAACCTATCTGTCACAGAAGAAAAACACAACTCCCATAGGTCTTGCATAACGTACAGCTCTTTATGCCTGTCCTAAATCACCCGGAGTACATAACATGGCACTCAAGGCCTTCGTCTGACACTTAAATCGTTCATATTCCTAGTGATCTCCATCCATCTTTTGAAGTAACTATTTGTCAGTGTAAGAAACTGACACTGTATCTAAAAATGCACAACACTGAAGCCCAAACAATTCGCCCTTTGTGACAGACATGATCTTGAATCCTTGAAAATTAACACAAACCAGAGATGAGTAGCAGGCATCACTATGCAAGTGTTTAAAAGAAAAACGTAACCAACCCTATTTCCCACATCTTTTCAGTATAAAATAATATTTCTGAAAACTTACTTATGTTGCTATCCCAACCTATTCCCTACGTTCTCTGCTTTCAGAAAGTATACGAGAGTAACCTTACATTTTCCAGAAATATCTGCACTGATTCACGTAACCAATCCAACAAGTGCAAAGGGTCCATCTTAACTGCATGGTTCTCTCTCTTTTCTGTAATACGATAACTGAAAGTATATCATGTATGAGCAAAGCCAATTCTACTTCATTTCAATTTTCTAAGCCGCAAGCCTGCTGAAAAAGGATGAAGAACAGCATGGTGGAAATTTAGTTCTCAGTAAGACTTAAGCAAAACAACCAAAATGCTCACCGTGTCTTGAGATTTATCTTTGACATCATAGACTGTGAGTTTTATTTTGGTCTCTTCATAGATGGGGTATTCCGGTGGGAACGTCACACCAGTCAGAAACAGTGGATCTCTTGTTCCCTGTGCAACACAAATATTCAGTAAGGTAACAGCTGTGCAACACGTAGCACACCATTATGGATGCAGGCACATAGACCACGGTCTCTTTAGCAGAACTTAGCTGTCTATCTCTCTCTGCTGTATAAAGCTCAGTGCTACAAGCAATGAGTAACAAACCACACAACTTTAAAACTCTGCCATACCAGAAAAGAATTCAAGCACTTCTGAAGCCGCCTATAAACATGCCAAACAGTTCAGCCTGCAGGCATCGGTATCTGGGCTAGTGATCTGTAGTAAAACATATCTTCCCTTCTCCTGTGATGCTTTTGTGAAGTATTTGGTTTCACATCACTTCAAATGAACTAAGAACTTAGCCAAAAATATTGAGATATCTTAGATAAATTATAATGAAAAGCCTATGGAAATGCTACAGAAAATCTTCATATTACGTTAAGGATACTGACTTTTTTTTGCACGGATTATAGTTTCTCTCTTTCGACAGTAATGGACTAAGACAATGTTTTTGTGCTTTGTAATTCCTTAACTCTTAACCATAACAACATCATATTTCCCAAACTTACCAGACTAGCATTGTTAAATTTTCTGTTAGGATTTAGTATGATTAATATACTTATATATATGTACTTACACATATATATATATATATATATATATATATATATATATACTTTCACTTGCTGAAATTCTCTCCACCCATGACACCTCCTCCCCCAGAGCTTGACTATGAAGGAAGCTGAGAGCACTGACAACAATTTCAAGAATTATTCATGCCCTCAAACATGTTCTATATCAAGACATTGCCTTAGGAAATGTACACACTTGTATTAAAAAAAAAAACATCTATTACATGCACTTCATAACAATGTTCCAGATTGTCTGCAATGAAACATCCTGATCAGATACAAGATAATTCAAGTAAGCAGTTTCAGGACAGTTGGTAGTTGAAACCACAGCAATTTAATTTAGTAATTGGGTCGAACTTTAAGATCAGAAAGAGCTCATGAAATATTCTCTATATATTTAACAGCTAAAACAAGCCTTTGGTAAAGTAAATTCAGGTGTCTACCTTTACAATAAGACTTTTCTGTTCTCAATGAATCTTCGCAGTAATCAGCCAAGTGAATAAGTATGCTATATACCTACACTGACTGTTCAGATTTAAATAATTTTATATTTAATTGATTTTTGTTGTTACTGATGCTAATGCTTACAGTACAAAACGAAAATGAGCAAAGCTGCCTCAGACTTTTGCTCCAATACATAACATACACAACATACATAAGATAGTAACTTCTGCCATGCCTGTGTGTTCATATACTTTCTCTTCATCATACAAGTAGGCTAATATTTTTCACACTGCAAAAACATCAACTTCCCTACAGAAAAAAGAAAACCATAAAGTGTAACTGACTATGTAACATGCCTCCGTTCTTCGGTAATTCAAAAGTACTTTCCAAACTTGCTGTACTCTGAGTTTACCTTTTTTTACATAGCCTTGCTCTTTCATGAGAGCAACTATTCACTGTTTCAGTCTAGACCAACGTCTGAAGAACTGGAGCATTCTGTAAGTTTTTGCTTGGAAAAAATAGAGCTTTCATGAAAAGGCAAGTTCATTACTGTTTGTCCTGGTTAAATGCCAAGAACTACAGAGCGCTCTTAGGTATGCTTTGCTAAGAGCCAGTGTGTGCTTCCTTACCTAAGACTGTGCACTAAATCGTTTCGTTTCTTACTCGCTTTCCAAGGAAACAACAGAAAAAGGGCAATTAAATAACATGTTAATTGAATAAGTAAGACACTCACCTCCACGATTTCAGTGCTTGAATACCTCGTCAAAATGTGCTCTGCTGGATGTACCACTGAGACTTGTATAAACGTATTCAGCTTCCGATCACGGGTAGCAGCCACAAGATCCTTGCATGCTGAAGACAGTACGAAAGAAAAATAAAACACTCGAATGAAAACTCTGGGAAAACTCTGCCACAGGCACAGGACAAAGCAGACTACACTCCAGCTCCAGCTCAAATCTCCAGAGACAAGCCGATTTAACAGAGGAAGTCTCTTGGAAGTAGCTTACAGAAATAGGAAGTCACATGCTGCAGAACTGAACTGAGATTTCGTTTCCACTAAAAATACTTGCAGCTTCTGCAAAGCTCCCTACCAGAGGCTCATCGGCCCCAGAACACACACGTGCGCACGCATACCCTCACACTCGCACGCTTTGGGATAGCAGGCAATTTCACATAAACATTCACGTAATTTGCCATGAAATCTCTCTTAGCAGCCTAACTTAATCATTTCTTTTCTGAGAGTTTTCCAGCATATGCACACTTAAAAGACATTCTAAGCCAGTTAAACGCCATCAGTGATCAGACTGATTTACACCGTCTGATGTCACATTACAAGCTTTTTACTGAAAACTCATAATAAAAATCCATAATTAAAATCAGACAGAAAAACATACAACACTTTTGTCATTGACTGGCAAGTACATTAGAATAACAACTGATTTCTGGCTACTTTAGACCATTATTAAAACACATTTTACTTGAAAAAATGTCACAAGGAATTCCGTTCTTGTTTAATAATTCATTTTTAACTTGTGCTTATGTGATGCAGATGACAAAATTAATTTTTTATACTAAAATACTTCAAGCTTTCTGACAAAGAAAAAAAGCAACAAGAAAAGGACAACGAAAAGGAGCAGGAGAGAAATAAAATCACCATTAGCCGCACTGCAGATAGGACACGTACCGATACAGCATACACCGGCTCCAAGTTAAAAGCCATCCACCTTACATTCAGTAGGAACACTCAACAGAGAATATTAAAATAGGATCTATCCAGTATTTTTGGCAGTTCATTGAGCAACACTGGAATCCTAGAATTCAGAGGCAGGAAAAGAAAAGCCTACCATTTCGTAGAGATTGTTAAGAAAGAGCGGGGGACATTTTATGGAGGTCAGTGCCAAACGGGCTTCCTCAAGTTCAGCTGACCTTTAATTTTCTAAAGGTGAGTCAAATTACCCTCGCAGCAAGCAAACCTGGTCTTATGAGAAAGCAAGGAAAACTCTGATAGACACAAAAGGCCAGCTCAGCTTGGTTTTTTTACCTTTTTTCCTTCAGGCTTGCACCTGCCACTTGAGGATTAAGGAAAACAAAAATGAACCATCCAGCCTTTCGTTAATACTTTTCCATAAGGGTTACACGAACAAGGAAATAATTAAAACTAACCTTCATAGAATACTTTGGAGTTTCTTCTAACGCCCAAATTTTCAATGAAATCTCACTGTTAAGCCTGAAACTGACCTTACCATCATTTGGTGGTAAAAATAGGATAAAAATAAACATTTATGCATGGATGGAGTCCTTATGAATTAGTGCCAGACTTCAACAGCAAGTTGCCAGCAAATCTTCTAAGGCTGACTACATTACTGAAGTTACCCTCAATACCTGATTGTATCTGAAGAACTATTTTATTGAATTTACAGACAAGTATTTAACTAACTACAGTAGGTTAGGCAAACACAAGTCTATTTGAACTGTATCATCTCCACAGGTGATCACAAAACTCTGATTAAAAAAAGTAACAGCAACAGCAACTGACATTAGGATGATGTCAGGATCACAGATACAGCTGTTTTCACCTGAAATCCTGATTTTCCACCTCCACCCAATCCTTAAATCCCTGTTTTACTCTATGATTTCATTTTTAGAATACAGCACACAAAAATGCTGTTTCAAAGGAACTATGAGTGTAAACGTTCTCTTCAGGAATCAGGAAAACTATCAGAGTCAAATTTTTCACAACCATCACAAAGGAAGGGTGGCCAGCTCAATTCTATAGACCTCCAGAGATGACAGGCAAACAAGACAAACTCTGGTAAAGTAAAGTAAAATAAAATGAAATAGAAAAAAAAAAATATTCAGCTTCCGGCAAAGAATCCTACACCTAAGCTCTTGTAAGTAGTACTACTGCATCCTGAATGGAGGTAAATCCCTCAGTTACTACCAGCTTGATATACATGCAGGACACAGCAAATACATTATGAAGATGCAATGAAGTCTTTTATCAGCTAACGTCACAAGTTTTTATCCCACTGATACATCTCAAGCAATAGGTACGAGAGCGCACTAAGTGGCCACTGCCAAGGTGAGCATAGGAGACCAGTGATTTTTTAGAAGAAAACCCAATCACTAGATACTTTTTTCTTTTTAAAGCAGCAGCCTAGCAAGATGATGTTGAATTTCGCTGGGTGGAGTTGACTGAAAATAACTGATCTGCATAACTCCAAATTGGAAGGTCCAGCCGGAAGTATCAGAAGACTCTGGGAGCATCCAGAGAAGGACAACACAAAAAAAACAAAACAAAACAAAAAAAATCAACTATTTCAAGACAAAATTATTTGTGTCTACTGTGACACTGGGTCACTGCCATTCACTACTAACCTCCAGTCACAGAAGATACTGAATAAATTGTCACTAGCAGAGAAGAGTTGCAGTGAGCTGAAATTTGTTTATCTCGGCCAGAACACATCATCACGCCCCTTAGAAACGGCCCAACTAACACATTTTAAGTAACTTTTCACAAAAGAATGAGGCAAGTTTTTTTTCATCTCGTATCCCATCTGGCCAGCTCCACAGCCCCACACTGAAATAAAGTCCTTTTAACTACCAAAACCTCTGAAAATGTTAGGACTTTACAAAGAAAGACTCTTTGGACAAGGTGAAACATTACATAGATATGCAGTGAGGTACTGGATGTACAATCTGTGTTTAAATGCAACTGTTGAGCATCACTGACATGTTAATCAAAACCTGATGAAAAAGCAAACATGAAATGAATAATAAGGCTGTTTTTCTAAGACTGTGAAAGCAGGTAACATCACACGAACGCACTCCACATTACAACCATTCAAACAGATTGTGTACACACTACTTCTCAATATTTCACTATTCTGGAAATAATTTTGCAAAAATCCCAAATCAAAACTCAGTGAACTGAAGTGACAGCTCTTATTTACATGCCTGAAATATATGAATCTACTCATTGTGACCGCTGACTCAGTGAGTAAATGCCTGAATCATCCACTGCCCTGGCGATCAGATCTCTGCTAAGCATACTAGTGTACAATGAATGTTTAAGGAAGAACTGCAGCAGGAATAATTCATGCTTTTAAATCAACAAAGAAAAAGTTAAGATGGCAAAAGGAACTATTCTTCCATGTAGTAAGCAAAGAAAATAAAAGAAAGATAGATAACAAAGGAACCACAATGTGAGAAGCAAGACAAAGAGCTGAACGGAAAAAATGCCGTAGAATATATTTTCAATATATCGTAGTTGTGTATTTTGCAAAATGTCATGGCCTATGTATGAACTGTCTTAACATTTAAAATGCCTCAAATCAGGAAATGCCTTAAGTTACCATTTATCATTTTCTAAGCAATGAAAGTGAAGAATTGTTTCCATGTCATTGCTGTAGCTGTTAACACAGCAACGTTATTCATGAATCACAGTAAATAAACACTTCTTTTATTTGTGCCCATACATTGTTGTACGCATTGCAGTACCAGTACTTCGCATATAAGCTCTGTGTGCAGTAAGTATAAGCTGTGTGAGTAAACATTTGGTTCTTGACTTTTGCCACGTGCAGCTTTCTAGTGTTCTCTGCTCTGCACAAACATGCAGGCTGTGATCTTCATCTTTGTGTGCACTTGCACACAATGTCAGCAAAATAAAATGCCTTCTTACTGTTTGCTTGTAACTGGGCTATGCTGTAATACAGTAGAAACTTGATTCACATTTTCAGAGTCACAGAAAAAAAGTAGTCTGGAAATTCTTCATCTGAAGTTACAGTTCAGACCAGCTGTTCAACACCGCTCCAACCACTGAAACCTATGAATCTGGAAGAAATTAATCTGGTAGAGGAATGGGGAGAATGCAGTACCTCCCTGAGCTGGAAAAGCTCCAGCATCTGGAAGAAACTAGGTGGGCATAAAGAATGAAAGACATTCTCTGCTCCAAGTTACCAAGTCGTATAAGGCAGGAAGCCAAGGACTATACCATGAATTAGGAAATGGCATTGACATTGCCATGTTTATCCATTTTTGTTAGCATATAGTATGAAATAACAGAACACTGGTGAACGTTTCATCAGTCTAAGGATTCACACAGCTCGTGTATCAGCCCACACGGTAATTTATGAGGTAGCCTTTCCTCTAACCAGTGACAGAAACAACCCAATTCCCCCATAACTTCTTCTCTTTCCATTTTCCACACCTAGATAGATTCCAAAGGGCTGGCAAGGGACAATAATTAAACAACATCCCTGTTTTCTCCAGAGCTCCTTATTTTGTAAGCACTCCCAGTAGAAAATCAGAAGTATCTGAAGTAAAGAGACATGGAAGAAGCTCATCTCTCATATACATACGTATTTACATGAACTGTTCAACTTTTTTCATTTCATTGGCATTACAGCAGCATTATCATCCCAAAGCAACGTAGTTTATAAATAATGATGTACAGTCTGTCTTGACAGATTAATTAACTGAGGTACAGATATTCCTTAGTCTGCAAAAGGATATATTTAATAAGAACACTATATTTAGACCTCTGTTATATGCAGAACATTAAGCAGTACTTTCTGTTGTTGTTTTTTTCTGGTTTGTTTTGCTGTTTTTGTTTTGTTTTGTTTTTTACCTCTGCCCTGAGAGTGGAGGAAGGGAAAAAAAACACTCAAAGTCACTGCTTCTGCCTTGCCTTCACTGGGCACTGCTAACCACGACCTTCATCCAGGAACACAAAGGCTCAGGAATAGTCCAACTTTGGAACACGCAGGACAACTTTGGGCACATGCTTGACCTTAGGAGCATAGTAAAGGGAACTAAAAGAGAGAACAGCAGAGAGAGATGTGTCCTCTATG